CCCCCACTCCCCCCACACTCCATGAAACCCCCTTGTTTTTCCATTCATACCCACCCACCCCAGCTGGAAACCCACATCACTCCTCAGCCACCCCCCCACACCCCTCTGGGACCCCCCCCAGCCTGGACAGCCATGGGAACACCCTCAGCCAGCCCCTGAGCGATGGACACAGCCATGTCTCGCCAAGAGCAGGACACACCCTCCAGCTCCACACCGGCACCCAGGCAAGCGTGCCGGGGGACACGCTGGGGGTGCCAGCCCCTGCATCCCTCCAGATGGGCAGGGATAGAAGCATCCCCACACACCTGAGGAGATGTGACCTTAGCGGCAGAGCCAAGTGGTGCAGCCCCCTTCCTACCCCGCCTCCTCACTGCACCAGACAGCGATGCTAATTACCTTCCTCCAGCTCGTCCATGCTCCCGATCTTCCGCGACCCATCGATGGTGTAAATGTAACGGACTCCCTGAGGCAGATTAATGTTGTCGGACAGGGACCGGGTCAGGTCAGCCAGGAGAGCATCAAAACTTCGGAAGCGGTCAGAGGACACAGCATATACAATCCCCTTGAAGTAGCGGTCCCCGTTGCGATAGAAACGCACCTTCTTGGCTTTCTTCTCGTTACTCAGTGCCTGTAAGGTCCTGGTTCTGTAGAAGCTACAGTGAGCACTGTGAGTGGGGCTGGGCAACCCGTTCATACGTGAGCCTCGCATGTTTCTGGACGCCTTGTCTCGTTCGTCAAAGTGTCCAAAATCAAGTTCCATAGTTTGGTGAACCCTAAAGATCTGAAGCTGAGCAGGAAGGAGACGGGGAAAGAAGGAGTGCAAAGGGACGGGTTAGAGCCAAGCAGAGCCACAATTCCAAGAGAAAAATTACACTAATGCAAGAGCTGTGTCTGGAGCAGGACTGATGTCTTTGGGAAGCACCCCCTCCCCTGACCCAGATTCGTATCGATTCTGGGGACTGAGGGTAGGAGGGGTCCTCGCATTTTGAAAGGGACCCCCTGCTGGGGGCAGGGAATACATTTCTAGAGAGCTGTCTGCTCCTGCACCTGGGAGTTCTCAAAGTGCCATGAATTGGGACTTGGGGCCAAAGGGGATACACGGCAATTGCAACTTGGCCCAAAAAAACTCATCCAAACACCAGTTGGCAATGAATTAAACCTCTGAGCCCTGTGAGGTTTCCTTTGGCAACAGAAAACAAGGCGATCCCAGTAAGTCAGCCCTCCAATCTGTCGAATCACGGAAGGAACCAGAGCATCTGAATGTTTAACATTAGAATAAACTGGCATTTATGAAAGAATGGTCACAGGGGAATAAGCAGTTTCTTTGTGACAGCCTGTTCAATAAGGGTTAGCAATGAGATCCAGCCCACCCTTCCCCCTATCTGCAGCCCCCTCCTAGCCCATCAATCAATTCCCAGGACCAGCCTACATCTGAGAAGAAATGACTGGAAAGAAAAATCTGTCAGTGAAACGAGGCTTTGATAAGCTCTTTTCAGCCCGAGTCTCCTCTCAATTGCATTTCTGCTCGCATTTAATGAGGAAGAGAAAATAAAGGGGCTATTTCCAGCCACCACCACCCCCCCTTCCAGCCTTAAGTGATTTAATTGCTGGAAGTGCCCCTGCCCAAGGGACACGCCACCCCTGCTCGCTCACCTTTCATTGTTCTGAGCACGGGGGGCTCCCCGCACAAGCTACTAGCTCAGAGAAGCTGAGACTCGAGCTGACACCCAGCAAGCAGGAATTTCTGCACCGTCTCTAGTTTATGCTCAGAAGCAACCTTCCTCCCCTGCCAAACCCCAACACAAAAGGAGGAGGAACCCCCAACCCTGCGACAGAAAGACCCTTCCACTCCCCCAGCACAACCAGGAACATGCAACTCACGTATGTCGCTTGCACGTTAACACAGGGCAGAAAGGGGATTTACACCAGCTCTTGGCAGCCAGGTATAAATCTAGGAAAAGCTGTTGCTATCTCTTCCCCACCCCTTACATTTGAACGAAGATCTTTCCCTGTATTTTTACAATGTCAGCGTGACCTGTACAAGAAAAAAATCATTGTCCCCGGTCTGCCATAAAGCAGAAGATGACAATGCAGGCGATCTGCACAGAAACCCCAAGTTGGGAACATTTTCCCATCGATGCTAACTGGGGAGGATTCAGTCTGGTGTCATGCACTGAACAATGAAACATCCAAGCAACTTCGGGAATGAATCGGAGGATGCAGGGGGTTTTGATTTTAAAATGAACTGCAGATGCTGCAAGGTACTCAGAGAAAGATCCCTCCTTTCTATCTGACATCTGTTACTTTTCTGCATGCAAGTCACTCAGAAAATCTCTACTCACCGGTTTTCAGCGCGCAGGGTGGAGATGCTGAGAGAAAGAAAACCAGGCTCACTCTGCCTTTGTTGTCTGAGCTCCAAGCAAGAAATTCCTGCCAGGGTGGATGAGACGCCTCCTAGGTCCTAGTGCCTTGTTCGATCCCTTCACCGTAACTCTGCCTCAGTGGTTTTTGCTCTCATCATCAATTGTCTGCTTGCAGTCTTCTCTGCATCGGAGAGAAAAAGGGTGTGTTCATTCCAGCTCTGGATATGTTAGCAGATGGGTAAACAAAAAGTTTAAAGGGGCAAGTTTTGGGGTGGTGTCCTGAAAGATCCAAGTTTCCCCTTTGCCCTAGCTTCACCAAGAAAGCATCTGGCCCCACTGAAAAAAGAGCATAATGGGACCGATACACCAGTATTACAGGATTAGCAGTACAGGGAGGTCACAGCTACAATCCTACAGTGTGCTGCGATGCTGGCACAAGACTCCTGTACGTTAGGAAAGCAACTAAGAAAAAAAGTTGACCAGTGGAACTGGGCACAGTCCTGCTCCTGTACTGGTTTTACACAGCATGCATGGTTTACACTGGCAAGCAGAAAGGGAGAATTCACTCAGTGGTTCTGCATGTGGTACCCCTGAATAATTTTACTCCGTTAACATTGGACACAAGCCACAGCCAGAGCTCTGAATCCCAGTCCATTCAAATCCCCAAGGGGTTCAGGATGGAGTCATTCAACACAAGCTTAACCCAACAGATTCAACCTGGCTCGTATCCCAAATTAAGAGAAGCTTATTTTCTGATTCCACTGCAGGAAGACTCAGCTGTTACAAAATTTTACTGGGCTCTTTCACTTTTACAGCAAAAAAACCCAAAAACCACACTTTCCCCTGCTTTCTGGATAGAGATTTCTACCCTGTTGTTAGAAGAGCGGGACCACTAACACCAATCCTAACCCCACTGGTGCTGGTCCCATCCATATTTTAGAAAAGAACAGGGGTTTGGAAATGGGAGGGTCTTCCCATCTGTAGAAGGAAATCTCTCCTAACAACGCTGTGTCTGTTTTGAATGAAAACATCAGATTTTGTCATTTTGGCACATTGCGGCAGTATCACATTTACACAGAAGAAGTTAGTATTTATTCCAGCTTTGTCTGCCCTGTACACGATAGTCCAGGCAACGCTGACACAAACCAACTGAAAGCTCATCTTTGTTTGCCAGCAGCTTTCACACATGACATTTCTGAAAAGTTTCTAATTACCTCAAAGCATCCTTTTATTCAGAGGCTCCCATGCATCCTCCACTAAAGCTGTCAGCTGCTCCCTTATGTGCTTGGTGGGATCACTCCCGAGGAGACCACAGCCCAGCTCTCCGTCCTCAGGAACTGGCATGAGAGGACCACAGGGAAGAGCAGGGTCTGTGCTCTCCAGAGCATGTTTCAGTAGGTCTCTGGATGCAGATGCATGAGGTAGGTGGGAAGTCACACCTTCTCCTTCCCATTAGATCCCATTCCAAATTAAACAATACCTGGCTATTTGTCACCTTAATCTGTCCAGGATTAACAAATAAAAATTTATTCATTCTTCAAAAATGTGCCAAAGGTACAAATCAACATGCACATGCTAAGTATAGTACCAGCAAGAACAGAGAAAATGAAACCAAATTCAGTCTTCTGTGGTCCATAGTGCTTTGATAAAGAGGCAGACTGTTTGGGATGACATCCGAGGATCTGGATACTACCCCAGAGTAACCTGGCAGGATGATGTTAACCCATGAAGTCATTGGAATTGTACAACTTATCTCACAAGTTTGACTTGTATGGAGAGGAGAGCAAAGGGTCTCAAACAGCAATAACAGATGGCTCTTCACTTCCTGCCACATCTGAGGCCATACCTGCTGGTGAGAAGATGAAGCATGTCTATATGGACATGTCTGCTCAAGACACTGCCAGAAGGTTTTTGGAGCATGGGCACTTCCTATTAAAAGCAGAATTACTCCAGCAATAGACCTTGTATTTGTTCCTGACTGAAGGATAAGGTTTCTGTAGCCAATGATGGGAATGTTCACCTTAGGTAAAACCTCAAGTTATTCCTAAAATATGCCCAAATCACCCTCAATACTGTTGTCCTCCTTGAATCCTGCCACAAGGCAAGAAGGATCTCAGCAGCCAGAGCATCATCAGAGGTGAAGAGCCCTGAAGCCAGATTGATTTCACATGTTCTCCATGGAATCATGCCATATTTGCTTCTCTACAAATGAGAACAGGATCACCTCATACTACAGACATTGGCCATTGGCTGGGCTATGCAGTAAGGCACAGAAATAAACAGCTCACTCTTGATGAGTGCAAGGACCTGCTCCTGACTTCATTTCTGTCAGGCAGGCACAAGAGCTTTGTCACTGGCCTTAAGGAGTTAATGCTAGTCAAAACCTATTTACATCAGAAGAGACTCACACCCCGAGATAACCATAATCTAAACCATTTTAGGCAGTATGAGTGACAGAGTTGGAAAGAAAATCCTTCTTCCCATCAATAATTTCATCTAGCTAAAAAGGAAAGATAAATTTAGCTCTTCAGATTAAATTATCTGCTTTAAATCAGGTGAATCATCTTTCCTCCAGGAAGCTAACATTTAGACTTTTGCCTGTGTAACTAAATCTGTATAAAGACGTGTTTGTTGCCATTGCTGAGCAACTGTGATACTTTGGAAAGGGAGGTAAAGGGATTTTGTGACTGCTTTGTGCTAACTTCTTCACATGCACCTAGAAACTCCAGTTTCTAGCATCATTAGGAGTTGCAGTCTTAAGTACTCTCTATGTCAAAGCTCAGTTGCCTTGTTATACATCATCCTGACTTCTATAAAAAATTCACTTCCAGTAGCACAGCATGTTCTCCAATCAGGATGTAAGTTATGGTGATAAGTAGCCACGGTCTGGCTGCACAACAGATGAGAATTCTGGAAAAATTTAAATCAAGCGATCACTGCTTTTGCAGGAAGTCTTCGGTCAACATTTTCAAGTCAGTCTATATAGATGCACATGTTTAATTACTTTTCTTATTTTAACCTTTGTTCTTCTGGACTGCTTTGAAAATGTCATCCATGATCATTGCTTTCAAAGGTTTGCTTGATGTGAACTTACACACCAAAACCCTCCAAAGTGACAAACTACTATTTCAGGGCTCTGTCAAAAGTATCAAAGCACTCAAAACTGAAAGCCCATAAAGCCAACAGCTCAGTGTTGACCCTGTAGAGCAACAGGCTTTAAACCTGACTCTTCAAGAGAGCTGACAGCTCATGGAAGAATTATCCTGTATCAGACTATAGAGTTAAGTCTCTACTTAGTAATACTATGAGCTAATAAGCAACGGGAATTTGGCAGACTTTCACCACATAACATTTGTTTCCTTTGGAGATTTATTTTTACAGGGACCACACACATCTGAAAGTCTTTTAAATACCAATGCTAGTGAGCCAAAGTCAGCTCAGACGCTGGGGAGAGAAGGGTGGAGGAATACCTCCACAGCAGGGTTTCACCACTCCAAGCCTCATAACCAAGGTCTGAACAGCCTCTGCAAATGAAGTCAGAGGGCTGGACCCTTCTACAGCCTGAATTGCTGCAAACCCCAGAGAGAAGCAGGGACAAAGTTTTCAGTCTGGGGAAGGAGGAGAGGGTGGAAGCAAAAGCTGAGCTCCAAGGCCACCCTCCAGCAGCCGGCTAACATAGAGCTCCTCACCTGTGCCCCACAGCACCAGTATCTCCTGGGTGAGACCTGTCCCCCCTCCAGAGGCAGGTTCCACAACTAAAGGCAGTGCCGAGTCGGTGCATTTGTGCTGCAGCCCCACACCCTTGGCAGATGCCCTCAATCTCAGCAGATGACATGGGCTTCAGATAAGCTCCTG